TGACTTAGTTTTTACTTCTTTCGATATGCTTGCGATTTTGTAGCTGCGTGTTTTTTTTTTTTTTTTGTAATATTTTATTTTTTTATTTTGCTTCTATCGAAAATTAATTCAATTTAATTAATTGGCTTTGTGCACTTTTTAGCATTTATCACGCACCACTTGCATACATATGCAACCGTAATATTATGCTTTCAATATTTAACACCGAAATATGCTTTTTGAATTGAATTTTGAAGCTAATGCGACGCGCGCTCCGTTCACCAGCGATGCGTTGCGCGTTTGAAAACGAAATGAATTGAAATGCTTATTAGAATATTCGCGAGCGTAAGCGGCGGGCGCGCGTATACGAAAAACGAAAAGAAATAACAAAGCTTTTTGTCAGCTGACGTCACGACGCTTTTGACGCTCAGCGAGTGAGTTTTGTTTGTTTGTTGAGCGCGACACCAGCGAGAGCGCTTTGAGTGAGTTTTTTTTTTGTGAGTGTTTGTGTGTGCGCGCGTCTGTGTGTGTGTGTGTGTTTCTTGTTTTTTTTCTTCTTTTTTTTTAGAAGGGCAAGCATAAGCATAGCGTTGCAGGTAAATTCTGACGGTCGCTCGGTTAGTCGGTCGCTGTCCGCAGCAATGCGGCGGCTGCTGCTACTCAATCGTTCGCTCGCTCAGCTGATAAAGCGATCATGCACTGTGTGTGTGTCTGTGTGTGTGTGTGTGTGTGTGTGTGTGGGACTGTGTGTTTGTGTGCCTGCTGCCTTTTCTGCCATATTTGTACTGCATTTTTGCTGCTAGCGCGTTTTCGATTTCATTATTTGTTCATTTATTCAGTTTTGATGCAAACAAAAAAGCAAAAAGCAAAAGCTTTTGTGTGTTTGTGCAAACAAGTTTTCGTTTACGTTGTTTTTGCTTCTGCTGCTGCCGCTGCCGCTGCTGCTGCTGCTGCCGCTGCTGTTGCCGCAACGCAAATTGCTTAAATACTTCTTTTGCTACGTTTTGCTGTTTGCCGTTTGCCGTTTGCTGTATTCAGTCTATTTTTAGATTGCTATTTTTTACTAATTACCCGCTATGTCGCCGCAGGCGCCCACTCGCCGCCCCCCTCCCCCCCTCTCTGTTCCTCTCTCTCTCTCTCTTGTAGCGTCCACAAATATACCGCAAATAGGTCCGACAATGGACAAAAGCTGATAAGCGTGCGCACTTAGAAAGGAAATATGAACACACAAGCACACAGACACAGAGAAACACAAACATGCACGTACACACGGCACACATACAGGCACAGCTTAAAGCTTGCTGAGCCGACGACACAATGCAGTAGCAGCAGCAGCAGCAGCAGCAGCAGCAGCAGATGATGATGAAGCAAAAGAAGAGATAAGCAGTGAATGCAGTCGCAGCGGCCGCAGCAGCGACAGCAACAATGAAAGCGCAGGGCCGCAAGCGCCGAGCTTTGAATTCTAATGCGGGCTGATCGCGGGCTTAGCTCATACAAATTATGTAACGCTTGAGCTCGTGAGCTTTTGACACAATGCGCTGCCGAAAATAGATTAACGGCACATGCAAGGCGCAAGAAAAAAAAAAACAACAAAATAAACAACTGTAGATTTTTTTTGTTTTGTCTTTTATAATTAAACAGTTTAACAATAATTGCCATATTTTATTTTTGTATTCATAATTTTGTGTTTTTTTGTTGTTTTTGGTTGTTTTTGGTTGTTTTTTTTTTGTTTTTTGCCTCATTTAAATTGTGTTGGCCTTTCAATTTGGCAGGCATTATCGTAAACACGTAGCTTTATATACACATTATTATTGCGGTGCACAGCGGACAGATACAGATACTCTGGCTATAGATACAGATACATGCATATGTACCGTTACTTTGGCATTTTGACGGAGAACGCAATGATCGGCATTTATTTTGCCGCTGCTGCTGCTGCTGCTGCTGCTGCTGGCCTGTGGTTCAATGTTAATCAGCGGCTCAAATCGACAAAAAGAAAACACAACAACACACCCAAAAACACACACACACACAACAAGTAACGCAATTCAAGTGCCAGTGTGGCCAAAAAGATTAATGTTTGTTTTTCAGCCTTTATGATGGCAAGCTGATGGATGCCCCTTGCCAAAGCAAGCGGCAGGCAGCAGTAAAACTTTAATTTCAGCTACAGCTCGCTAATGTATCTTGCAGATACATACGCACACAGATACATAGTTGCACTGCATTACAAACAGGCGCAACTTTTGCGTGTCTCTGACAGCTGCCCCCAACACACTTCCCTTCCCTGGCCCTGGCTCTATTAATGCCATTTATTGCATGTATCTGTAACCCATGTATCTGTATCTGTATCTGTAGCTGTATCTGTATCTGTATCTCTAGCTGTATCTCTAGTTGTAGCTGTATTCATAGCCACTTGTTGCTGCTGCTGCTGCTGTTGATGATGGCGCTCTTTGGCAAGTCTTTGGGTTTTCGGCTCAGTGTGGCAGTCAGTTAGTCAGACAAGACATTATTCAGTGTGACCCTGACCTAATAAGTATGCGCAAGCGCAAATTGTCCGTTTGCCGCATTTAGCATTGTTTTTTTTTTTTCTTTAAATTACATGTATCATATATCATATATCTTGTATCTGTGACTGCATTTGCTGCCTTGCATTTAAATTCCAGAAAAATTAAGTTAATGCCAGAGCAACTGATTAATTATATATGATATGATATATGATATCATGTTATATGATATATCATTGCTTGTTGCGCTTGAAACTTTTCACAATTTTTGTTTACAATTCGCAAGTAGTTAAAGCGCAAAGCGTGTGCAATACGAGTCTTGGGCGTCGCTGTATTATATAGTTATCTATTATTGAGAATTCATGTAACTGGAAGAATATTATGTGTAAATGCATTTATAGATATTTTTCCTTATGTGAACCACATTGTAAACCACCTTAAGCCAGATAGTCTATGGAATTCCACATTCCTTTCTTGTGTTTACCTGCAGTTTTTTCTTATAATTCTCAACTAGTTAAGGTGCAGTTGCAGGAATGCCAAGAAAGTTATTTAATGATCATACAAAAGTTTTCTCGCTTATAATTCTCAAGTAGTTCAAGCGAGGTTGTAGGAATATCAAGAAAGAAATCCATTGATTATGTTAAAGTAATAGTAATAGTAATGTAATGTAAATAGTCTTGTATTTTATAGTCTCAACATTCTATCACATATCTTCTCTATTTGAAAACCCTGCCACAAGGTTATTTTCTAGACTGTCCCCCAAAACTATATAACTATTGACATGGTCGAGGCTATATTGGTTGCCTGATTTATTTATTGTTGCTGTTGCAGTTGCTTTGTTCATTTGATGTCCAAAACAAATGCCAACGAAAGTGCGACACCGAGTTCCAATTCCAAACAAAACACAACAGTACACAACAACAAAATAACAGAAAAACCAATACCAAAATCGAATCAAATCGAAAACCAAATTCTAGCGCGCCTTCCAAATGCAAATGAGACTTAATTATTATGCCGGGCCCGAACGTGGCGAGTGCGGCGCGGCAGGCAAGTGCCAAATTGAAACCGGTTCGACCGACATTTCAAATACGTGAATACGCGCGCCGGACTACAATTCAATTATACAACTACCAGCAGCGACTGGCGCTCGAAGAGGACGGGGGAAAAAGGGGGGGCAAAGCGGGACGCCAAACCTTGCTTAGCCAGGCCAAGACGCCAGCCAGGCCAGACAACGACTAGAGATTCACTTGCGCTTTTTTTTTTGGTTTCACATACCGAAAAAACGTTGCAGCTGAGCTGAGGTACGCTTGCGAGAGGGGGGGAAGGGGGGGGGGGGCGTCAAGTTGCCGGACACAGCGAAAATGAAAGTGCACAGTGCGAGAATTTGGAAGCGTTTTTCGATGATGACGGAAATGCTTTCTTGGCTTTGATAACAAGCGCAGCGACTCTTCGCCTCACACACACACTCTTCGCATCATGTGTAGACACAGGTAGGGGAGTGGGGTGTTGCACCTTAAAGGCATTGCGTATGTCTCTGGTATTATTGATTTGGCTTTCGTTTGACGTCGTTTCGTTTCGTTTTGTTTTTGTTTTAGTTTTAGTTTTCAGTTAATCTTGACCCGACGTTACAAAACGTGACCGCCGTGCAGAGAGCTGGCGCGGCCAGGTGCCAGGTGTGTGCACACACACCATCCCGCACCCTTCCCCTTAGGCTAATAAATGTCTTAGCAAAAGACAACACGAGTCTATATTTACGACAATAGCACGACGCGACGGACACCAAAAATAAATTTGAATAATTAAATTACTTTACTTGATTTTTCTTTTCTTTTCTTCTGTTTTCTTTTTCTGTCATTTTCTTGTTGTCGCTGCTTTTCTTTGCCTTATCATTAGCTGCGCTTTTGTTCGCTCAAATTTTGTGTGTGTGTTTTTTAATGCCTAAATTTAGTTATATAATCTTCGAAGAAAAAAAAAGAAGCGACTCTCTAATTGTGGGCACACACACACTCACACACACACACACACATACTTCATAGAATCCCTGTGTTTAGCACTGTGCGAAAATTTAGTTGCAGCTCCTAATGAGCTTAACTAAAATATTAATTTGAAAGTTGTTTTACATTTATAATAACTTCGAAAGAAGCAAAAAAAAACCAACTATATCTTTCGAGAATAGATGTCTATCAAAGCAGGTTGCCTGTTTCGAAAGCGGAAAATTTGGCATCCGTCAGATACAAAGACAGAAAACAGACAGACAGATTCTATGCAAATACAGGCCGTGCAAATTGTGGGCCGCATTTGTGCAAATATTTTGAAATATTATTATGATCAGACTTGAATTCTCTTGTTCGTTTCAAACAATAATGTGTGTGCTTCTTTTGTGTGCGCTTTAAGTTGAGGTTTTTTTTTTTTTTGTTTGTTTGTTTGTTTTGTATACATTACCAGCAACAGCTGAACTTGCAGTGTCTAACGTATGTATTTACCTGAAAATGAAAACAAAATCGAAGAAAAAGATAGATAAGTTAAATGTGCACATTCCAGAGCATTTTGTATCTCTAAAGAGCAACAAGCACTCAAATGGAAAATGTTGGCAGTGGGATAGGCCCAGAATAGTTGTGTAACAGTAATGCGAAATAGTTTCTAATTTTGTTTGCGCTTGAAATTCCCAACAGGTTAAGCCTAGCTGATGAAGATGCGCTTATAATTCGCAACTGGTTAAGGCTTTGTCTAAGCCTTGCTGATGATTCATCTTAATTTCCTCTTATGTCCCTCTCCCATTTATATTTCTCATGTTCTTCTGTTTACAGTTTCATTGCACTTGAAATTCCCAACAGGTTAAGACTTCATCTAAGCCTAGCTGTTAATGATGCGCCTTTAATTCCCAACTGGTTCTCACTATTTCCTCTTTAACTCTCACTTGCACGCTCTCTCTACATATGAATCTCTCATTTTGACTCTCTCCACAATCTCCCTCTCCCTCTCCCTCTCTCTCTCTCTCTTGGCTCACTTTTAGTTCTCACTCCCCCTCATTCTTAAATGTCGTTCTGCCTCTTCCGTTTAATTTCTAGCACAATTTCTAGTGCTTTCGTAAGCACTCTACTCTTTCTTTCCCCTTATCTTTAACTCTCTACCTCACCCACTCTTGGAATCAACCAAAAATAAACTCAGCTGTCTTTGTACATTTTATTGCTCAAATTATACTAAATATTGATGTTTTAATTATTATTTGGTTTTGTTTTTAGTACCAAGTCCAGGCAAACAGCAAACAGCTGTTGTCTACTCCAGAGACAAAGAGGTTTCGGTTTCTGTTTCGATTCTTGTTTAAAGCTGTTGCTTGCAAGCCAACTTTTAGTATTGAAGCTAAGAAAACAATTTGCTAATGGCGAAATAAACATTTGCAGTTGTTATGGCCTATGCATTAGCCTGATTAGATTGCGACTAGTTGGCAACAATAATTATCACGATCACGTTTATAATTACAAAGTGAGGGAGGCAGCAACTGCAATTTCGGTTAGGTTTATGCATATAGCCAAGCAATTATATGTCAAGTTTACGTTAGTTACATTAACTCAGTCGAGTTAGTTGGTTTTTTGTTCCAGGAAGTAATTGATAGCAGAGTCCGCGATCATTTGCGACACGAAATCATTTATCAATTTTAATAACAATTCACAGGCAGATGACGCCAATTCGCATGACAATCGACAACAATAATTATATTGCTCAAGACTGAACAATTAAAATGAAAAGCTACTCCAGCTGCTAACCCGGGCTAAAGCTTGAGTTTGGGTCATTTTGTAGCTCTTGTTGAAAAAGGGAGAGCAAATGTTTCTATGGCATACATATGATATAGTAGTCCGATCCGGTTAACTTTGACAAACGTACTGCAGCCTGATATAGAGTATATATATATATACTCAAATGGCCTCAAAGTTGACTCCTTCACTTCATGACAAAGTTATAACAATCTCTAGAAGGGCATACAGCAAAAAACACTTTGCAGAGTTTCAGCTATGCTTATGAATGCGCACAAGTACAATACGTATTTGTATCTTAAAAGCGATCACACGTTGTGCACAGCTACAGATACTCATCTGTCATTTCATAGCTGTAATTACGAGTTACATGATTTTGCGTCAAGTCACGCCATAAAACAATGAGAAACAAACTCATAACAGGACAGAATAGAACCGAACACAACAAAACACAACAGAACAGAATAAATAACCCATCAAAATCAAATCAAAGCCAAAACGTGCAATACGCAATTAAACTATAGATACAACAAAAAATAAAATAAAAAAAAAAAAAACAAACGACGAGGCGAAAAAAAATAACAAACTGTGAGACAGAGCAAAATAAATAAATACTAAAAAGTTTACGCCATATAATCGTTTAATTGAATTCAGTTGATAGGCAAATGAATAAACCTTTCAAATGCAAAAAAAAAAAAAACAAAAAACAATAGTTTAGGCTAAGCACGTGTCGCACTCTTTAATGGCATGCAAAGTGAAGCACAAAAGAGATACAACAAATACATTTGTACATATCCTGTTAGTTAAACATATATTATCTTAATATATTCAGGGAGTTTTGCAGCAGCCAAATACAGCTCTGCCTCTCATAGAGTCTGCGCTGGAACCACTTGCGAATTTTAAACGAATTTCGTAGTATTAGTTTATGCATGACTTGCACTGATTGTATCTAGGGAAATTCTAAGTGAGAAAGCTGTAAATTTAATCAGCTGCAGACATGAAGAGAATGCATTTCATTAAGTCCATGCTTAAACTGCTTGCGAATTATAAACGAATTTCGTATAAAAAAGCTTTGGTATGACTTAAATTGGGTTTATAGCTTCTAAAGATCAGCTGCAGTTGTGAAGCCAAAGTGAATGAGTTACCTGTGATTAAGTTAACGCTTAAACCACTTGTGAATTATAACAAAAACTATGTAAATTGTAAAATAATGCCAAAATGAAGTCAGCTTCTAGCTGATAACACTTTTAAAGTTCATTAAAGCACATTTCAGCCAAATATCACTTTCTTTCCTTAAAAAAAAAATGGGTACACGCCAGCTCAGCAGAAATGTAGTGCAATATAGTACACAAAAACTGAAAAACTGAAGAACTGTCAGCTGTATTCCGAAAAAAACCGAGCAGTTGTTTCAACAACATCACAGAGAGAGAGAGAGAGAGATAGAGATAGAGATAGAGATAGAGAGAGTGTGTGCTAGATTCAGTTATAATAAATAATATATTTATACGCAATATTTTGAGCTGTTATTGGGCTGTGAAAAGAATAAAATAAAAGATGACAAAAATGGCAAAAAAAAAATATTGAGTGCAAGAGTCGAAGTATCAGAAACATATATCTAGATCTGGTATGATATAAATATATATGACACAAATATACATATATACATCTTCTATTCTTTCTGCACCTGATATAATTGAGTTACAAGCGCCCACGCACACAATTGGCCGGCCCGTGGTATGTGGCCTCTATAGATCTATAAATATAACTATGAAAATGCGCAGGCTATTAATATGTATATACGAGACGAGTGTGTGTGTGTTTGTGTGTGTGTGTGTGTTGCAGGTGACTAAGGCCTGAGAATCTGGGGATTGCCGCTGCCAACACACGTGCCCCTCTGCGTGATTTATGCATTTAAGTGGCTTTGAAATTTCTGAGATTGAGTTAAGTGATTTTCCACAGAGCTTGGCTTCATTTTTATTTACATATTTACTTATTTTGTTGGTAAATTGATGGTGCGATTTTAATAAATTGTTTAAATTTCATTTATTATTTAATTTATTTTGTAGCTTTTTTTGAATATTATTTTGCAGCTTGTCAGCGCAAAATGTCAAGACGAGACGTGAGTTTAATGCACCCGGAGCCGCAGAGAAAAAGACGGCGTGCGTTACGAGCTGGGCGTAGGTGCGAGAGAGCTGCAGCTAGCACGGCAACAGCTTTCAAATGTAAATTGTATATAAGGCCGTAAAGTGCGGGCATAAGCAATTTAATAACCATATAGCCTTATATATAGCTATTGAGATACTTTAGACTATATAGAGACACGGACGCTTATCAACATCAATCACAGCCCAAGGGTTCATTAGACCAGGCGGAGCACGTGCAAATGCCTCCTGCGGCAGGCAAGGGTCCATTAATAGCGCATACTCTACACTAAATCATATACTATATACTTCTATATATATATTTATATATACTATTTTCATTCAGCAAAGACTTGGCTAATCAGTTTGTCGGTTGCGGGTCAAAGTTTTGAAATTGACGTGTTTGAATTTACGATTAAGCTCTGCTCGGTTGGATTTTACAATTCGGCATTACAAAATTTGCTTTATTTGAATTCTCTTTCAATTATTAACATAATAATTTCGACAATGTACACTCCTCCCTGGGCTAGGCGAACAGTTCCCTTTGCGCCCCACTTTCGTAACTCTTTTTGTAATTTCACTTTCTTCGACGTGCGGACTCGCGTCTGTTGGCTACGTGCCATTAAAAATTGGCTATGGCCATCAAACTTTATAACGAGCATTATGTAATCGACCTGTCGACAGTGCAGACAATAAGTAACTGCATCGAATTATATGACCAAAGGTAAGAGCAGTAAAAACTGGATAGTATAGTCCAAAGGTTGGTTTTGTGAGTTTAAAGCAATGATTTATAGGGCAAAACGCAAGAAATTCGATTGAAAAGCTTTCGGCAAAGCTGCATTCTATAATTCTCAAGCTGTTTTAGCAGCTAAAAAGCTTTCGCAAAAGTTCGCCTCGACACTATCTCCCGCATCTTTTGAGTAATATCTTTTTTGCCTAATGAGACAAATGTGACTATTCGTTTTTTAATCGCGCAGCGGAAAATAAAACACAATCAACATAAATCACATTTCAATATACTCTATTTTTAATGATGCTTCCGTTTATGTGGGTTATAATTAGAATCCAAAAGCATAAAAAGCGCAAACAAATTGAAAACGAAACAAAATCGAAATTGAATTAATTAAAAAGAGTAGAAATAAAAAAAAAAAACTATTTCAACAGCACTCGAGACAAAAAAAGAAGCAGCTGAAGATTACGTAATGCTGACGTTCCAAAAAAAAAAGAGGTTGGGAAAATAAGGAAAAAGAAATATTTGCGCATTCTGAAGTGTAACAAAATGTCGAAAAGACAACCCACGTTTTCTTCTTCTTTTTTTTATACCCTTGCAGAGGGTATTACAATTTTGTCATGCAGTGTGTAACATCTCCGAAGGCAAGGCAAAGTATTCAGATTTCCATCAAACACTTCGCACATTTCTGCCAAAAGGCAAATGTCTGCAAGGGTATTAAGTCTGCGGCTTGCCGTACTTTCTCGTCTTGCTATTATATTTTTTTAAGCTAAACGAATCGAGCTAGTTGTCAGCTCTTGGGAGATTTTTAATTGGTACTCCTCGAACTCCTAGCTTTGGTCTGGGTGCTAGGCAAATATGTGGGCTGCTCTAGCCATAAACTTAATCAGCTTAAAGCCAGCCACATGTGTTGGAAGTCAGTCGAGCGCGTTAGCTACAGCTCTGCCCACACACACACACACACACACACACACACAGAGAGAGCAGCACTCACAGCGCATTAAAAATAGAAATTCAATTTCAATTATAGTTCTGCGGCTTAAGGCACTTAACCGAGCCGCGAGATGTACTCAAGTGCATCCATCAGATACACGAGACGGAGAGCGTGTTCCGGTTTCGTTATAGTCAGGTATTGCTTTACTTTCAGCACAGCGGCTTGATTTATGATGCTCGACACATTACGCATACGCCATGTGCGACAAATGTCGCATAAATTGCAGACGACTCTCAACTGTTGTCGCTGTTTCACTTTTGAGCTTCCTGTGAAACAACCAAGATGCTGAACCTAATGCACAGCGAATTTGCGTTCTACAGCAAATGTCGTCGAAGACATGATATGATTGAGTATAGAGGCTTGTGAGTTATGTTCAAATGAGTTTGTCGCACATTGAGCCATAAAATGCTCTGCTTATTACTCAATGAAAGACAACAGAATAATGGAATTGTGGGCAATTGACTTTGATGCTAGGACTTTGTGTGGTTACCATTTGAATAGAATAGTTGCCAATTAGACGAGCTTCAAATTGCAGGAGGCGCCAGTTTAAGCTAAAGATACTTTTGTATCTATCTTTTTTTTTTGTTGACTTTTAGTAGAGTGCGAATATCTTCAGCAAGTCGATTGGTATTTATCATAATTTATGTGCCCTTGCTTTAGTCGAGTCTAGCTTCTAGTTTGTCCGACAGGAAAGGCATCTCACAGCCTCCTCTTCTCCTCCTCCTCTTCGTCAGCAGCTTCCTTGCCTTGTTCACACTTTATATACCATATAAGTAATATATATATATACTAAGAAATACATATACTAAAGTGTAATATATGTACCCAAAACAAAAAAAGCCTCATTATTTTACAGCCCAACAAACCCGCTGAAAGTTCATTCAACGCGTCGCGTTTTTTGACTTCATTTGCTCAGTTTTCTTCTTTTTTTTTTCTTATTTATTTCGTGGACTTTGCTACGGTTTGTTCGTTGCGCTTTAGTTGGTCTCTGTGTCAGTCGAACTTTAAAAAATGCCAGCCATATATACATATCAAAATGTGTGTGTGTGTGTGTGTGTGTGTGTGTTTGTGTGGCAATGTGGCAAACATTCTGCACACACATACACACACACACACACAGAGCTGCAACGGGCGCAACTGCAACCGAAACTGCGCTTCGTTTGATTTCTACCAAAGTGAAAGGAGTTTTTGTTTTAGCAAACATTTATTTCCAGTTTTTTAATGCATTTATAAAATTATTTATTGTTATTATTATGTCTTGTTTCTTGTTTCTTTCTTTTTTTTTTTGTATTTTGCTAAATAATTGGCTTTAAAAATGTTTTGCAAAGTTAAATCATTTTTTTGCTCTGCGCAACTTCCTGGAGTTACAAGCAAAACGTGCCGCCCAATTTGTAGATCAATTCGGCTTTGGGCCTTGGGCCAAACGGTGGGCGTTTGTCTAGTGAAAGGCAGAAAACAAAATCGAACTCAAGAAGCTGCAACAAAACTTCGATTGAGCAATTGCTTTTTGTGAACGAGAACGCCACAAACAAGACAAGAATATAATATTTAATTATTATTTAATCTATTGTTGTTGTTGTTGTTTTTTTTTTTGTCAATATTGCAGCCAGCTGTGGGCGAGGTTGTTGGCATTGCGTGTCATTGCGGGTCACATGATGCACATGCAAAGCGCATGTTCAACCTTTTGCGATAACACGCGACAACAACAAGACAGAGAAGAAGAAGAGGAGCAACAGCTGCTGGTGAAAATGAGCGGCCAACGAACAACGCTTTTCACTTAGCAAACAAACAAACAAACAAACAAACAAACATACAAACAAACAACAATTGCAAATGCCCAACCCCAAAAGCAGCTTCAAGCCAAAAACCAAAAACTCAGCCACAAATTTGCTGCTGTTGCAGTTGCAGTTGCTGCTGCATTTGTTGCAGCTAAGGCAATTGAATGCCTCGCGAGCAGCAGAAAAAAGCATGCACACACACACAACAGTCTGTACCCGAGTGTGCGTGTGTGTGTGTGTGTGTGTGTGTGTGTTACAATGCCCCCAAGTCATGCACATGCACATGCCAAACCATTGCGCCACAATCAACAGCAGCAACAACAACAATAAGCACCTGATCGTAGCTAAAAGTGCAACTGCAACTGGCAACAGCTCGTGAGATTTAGACAAGAGTTTGTGGCATTTTGTTGTTGTTTATATACACACACACACACACACACATATTTATATATATATATATATATACGAAAAGGTGCCTATTACAGTTAGACTTTGATATTGCTCGGCTTTCATTAAAGCCAGCGCGCCCAAACCACATTTATTAATCGATACAAAAAAATATCAAGTATACGCATCTTAAAGATCTGAAGCTAAACATTCTGCAGCCCGTCTTTCACAACAAAAAAATGGCAAAAAAAAAAAAAAAACTTTTCTAACTTTTGTTTTTGCTATGCTAAGAATATGAGAAATATAGCTGGGCCCAGAAAATGACAACAAATTGCTTTTCTCAACAAACTTTAAATCGTTTTTTTAATGACTTTGCTGTTGCTTGTTTTCTTCTTGGGTTTTTGGTCCTTTTTAAATCTCTGGCGATGTTTTTCTATCTGCTTTCGTTCTATATATTTATATTTGTTGTTTTGAAGTTACCCTAAAATTTAACTCATATTTTAAATATATTCCTATAATATGGTATTGTTATAGTTTTGCGATACACTTAAATCACTTTACTATAAGCTCGCATCATTTTTAACAAAAGAATTTAGTATATGAGCTCTGAGAATGTGATTCTTTATGTATACGTTAGTTCTCCAGTGTTCCGACAGCCTCAATGAACTTGGCTAATATTTAAGTTTTTTTTATCTACCGATAGGAATAATCGGATATGAGCGGATCAGCCATCGATAAGTTATCGATAACAATGGGCTGGCTTTTCTATCGATAACAATTAGCAGCATTTTTGGCGCTGGACTTTGCATTTGCATTTGCGCCTCTTCTGTTGTTAACGTCAAGAAAGTGAAATCTTTGAAAACGCGCTTTTCCTCACATTCAATTTTGCTGTTGTTGGGGTCAACAAATTTCACAGCAGCCGCAAAAACAAACAAACAAAAAAAAACTGTGTTTGCGGTCGTTAAATTAAGTTTTAGTTTTAGTTGCTGCTGCTGCTTTTGCTAAATATTAACAAATGCTAAAAACGCAAACGTAAAGTTGTTTTACTTACGAGTGCAGAATTGAATAACATTCACAAATGATTCATTGTGATTCAAATGATTCGAATGCGCAATGGCTTACCTGAAAATAGAAGACAAAATATGCAAACGAGGCGTCAGTAAAAATGCTTTTCAAATAATTCAAATTACATTCTAAATCAAGCGCAACAAGTGCAAATATATACAAAAAAAAACCAACAATTCAGCATGACGAATAGTGTATGCTCTTAGACAAATTAATTTGTGTTTAATATGCGAGATATGCGATATTGTATATTAACAAAGAGCTTAAGGGCAGTTTTTAGAATAATAAAACCTATTTGAATAGCATAAGAGCTATGGAATATATCACTCCCGATTCTTAGCCTATCACAGCTTTACTCTCTTCGCCTGAAGCACAAAATCAGCCACATAGCTTAAACGAGAATGCTATAGAATATCAACTCCAAAAAAGACAACTTCTATAACTAAACTATATTATCTCTTTCTGCTAAGAGTATGTTAAGAAGGCGTCATAAAGTGTCTCCAAAGACGAGCGTCATTCCAACTCATGTAAAAGTCAAATTGACAACGAAAACAAAAGAAATGCCCGACTAGGGTATACCCTGAAGCTGCTTCTAGTAGGGAGAGGTAACTAAGCTAAATGTTGCTCTTAAGACCCAAGCGATTTCCTTCTAAAAACGATTTAGGTATCGATTTGTATCGATTGTTTGGAAACGGAGCAAGTTATCGATTAACTGAAACAAACTCAAATTGGCACGAGGAGGACCTATGTTCAGGTCTTTAGCTCTTAAGGGTTCTAAGATCCTTGGGTTTATACAGACAGACAAACAAATAGATGTTTGCTGATCAAGAATATATATACTTTATGGGCTTGGAGATGATTCCTATCTTCTGGCCATATACCCCATTAGACATTTGCAATTTGTACAGGGTATTAAAAACAACTAACAAATGTGGAAAATTAAAATAAAATAAATTACGCACCGTCTAAATGTGAAATGGTATTTAAAAATATACACAACAACAACAACAAAGACAGCAATAATAACAAGAAGAAGAACAAAACAACAAAAATAAAAATCTTGAGCGCTTGACAACCGCGATTCAGAAAGCTGCGGCGGGATGCGACGTGGGCAGCGCGACGAGTAAACAAAATTTGAATAAAAATTCGCGAATGTGTTGTTGTTTTTATTGTTATTGTTGTTTTTAATGTATTCAAGGTAAACGTGCCAAAAAAAAAAAGGATTAAATAAATAAAAGAGCTGCCTTAAATTCAAAAAACAAACACATTATTTTGTTCGCCCCAAACTACAACTTGTGCTCTACTCTAGTTAAAATTAAAAACAATACAAATATAAACAATTATTTATAAATATGTTTTGTTTAAACAGTTGCTGCAGCTGTTTCCCATTCTCTTGAGGCCCACTTTTCGGGCTGCTCGCAACTATTCTCATATGAATATACAATAAGAATTTAGGTGCGATTCATAACTGTAACAAACCGCAAAGTTTGCTGCTGTCCGCGTTCAAAACAGCTGTCAGCTTCAACTATAGATAGTACCTGGCACCCCCATAAACAGTCCCATTGAACTCGGCCCCTATAAGAGCCAGACTCCGTTTACTTGGTATATGGGCTTTTTAAGTGTAGCTCTATAAATATACTTAAGTTCGGTTATGTTTTGTCACTTTATAACCATCCCAACTAGAAATAGCCTCAAGAAACTCGGGTACTATAAGAGCTAGACTCGGATAACTTGGTATAAAAGCTCTTTTAATGTAGTTCTTAAAATATACTTAAGTTCCTGCAGGTTTAGGCACTTTATAACCATCCCAACTAAGAATATTCTCAAGAAACTCGGGTACTATAATAACAACAGTCAAAAAATTTGGTATGTGGGCTCTGAGAATATTGTTCTTTTTGGACAGATTAGTTCTCGAACATTCTGGGTTTCAAAAGTAACCCAAGTAACCAGCCTCCATGAACTCAGCTCATATGTAAACTACAGAAAATACATTTTTAGCATATACCATTTGTTCCATTCCTTCAAACATAAACGTAATACGCATTCAATATGCGTATCCATGGGAATCAGGAATTTGCTTTCAGGCAAAATCTTTCAAGCTAATTTAATAGTCGTTTATTTGTTTGTGTTTAATTAAGCATTTTATCTAGTTAATATAACGCGCTAGATTATATCTTATATTGCCCCAAAAAGCACTTTGGGCTAGTTATTTGGGTTTTCATACAGTTTTGTTTGTGTACAAACTCATTTATTTATAATAATTTCTGTTTATTTTCTGATGTCTGTTTTATTTGCACAACGCAGCACGAAAATAGCCGAAAAAAAAAAATGGAGAAGAAGAAGAGTGCCTAAATAAATATTAAAAGCTGCCCTTAGCTCGCTGACAGCAACAGATACAAATGTATCTGCAAGTGAGTTTTGACATTGTCGTTGTTGTAGATATTTTTGTTGTAGCTGCATCTCGCGCCTGAGTCGCCTTCTGGGTCATTGCTGTTCTCTTAACCCCCCGTCTGTCTTCCTCACCCTCTCTCTGCACCTTCCCCCCTCTGTCTCTCTCTCTCTCTCTCTCTCTCTGCTCGCTCTTCAAATATATCTCAGCACAGCCTTGTGGCTCGCGCGTCTTTGTCTGCAGCTCTTTTGACCACTTGGCTGCTTGTCGTGTTTGAGTCTTAATTAAATTAGCATTTGGCTGGCTTTTCATTGTGCTCTTGTCCTTAACCGACGCTTTGGCTACTGCATACGAAAAGCAACAACAGCAGCAGCAGCAACAACAACAACAAGAGAAGAACAGCGATAAACTGCGCCCATTTTTAATAAGAACGCAGCCAACAACAATGCAAATTCGCTGACGTTCAGCGAAGTTCGACATCGTCGTATAATGTAATCAAAGTCAAATCGCGCCACAGCCGACTGCATATAGCCAGCCAGTGCATAAGTATCTATGTATCTAAGTATCTATGTATCTAAGTATCTATGTATCTGTGTATCTACGTATCGAGCAGTACGTGTGCTGAGCTCACAGCTATTTAGCTATTTAGTTTGTGCATGAAATACCCGACGGACAACGCACTTGGCGACCTTCGCCGTGTACGCCGCGGCATACGTAGCTCAAGGTTAACAACAACAACAACAACAACAACAGCAACAACAATAACAATAAGCAGCAGCAGCAACAACAAAGATAAAAGCGCATTAACTAGAGCAAGAGCGCCGCCCGCCTGCTCCGATATTCGGCTTTGGGTTGCATTCTAAAAAGCTCAACTCCGTGCACAAAATCCGGGAAGTCACAAACTTCGGCATGAAAACTGAGACACTTCAAAGCAAAAAAGAACTGCTCCTTTATAATATTAATGTAAGCGAAAGGGAACGTATATACGGATATGCAATGCCCTTGCAGAGAGTTGCGCTTGGCAGAAATGGAATATGGACTTGCTTTTAAGCTGGGAGGGAGAGAGGGGCTCAACTCATCTGTCCAAGCATCATGACAAAGGACATAAATCCGTTCAAAATAATAATAATAATAAAAGGACATGGAATCGTATTTATTTTTGTTTTACAGATTCTTGACAACAGAAAGGTATGAAAAGTATAAATGAAAATATACAAAAAAAAAAAAGTTCACTTGTCTCGCAAATTAAAATAACAATTTTTCCGGTTTGACTAATTATGCTACCCCTTTGATTTCCTCATGTGCATTTTCATTGCAATTGAAATGCATTATTAAAAAATGCGACGCTTTTTATGGCCCTTTTTACACAGATGCTTAACATAGCTCGCATTGGAGAAAGGCTTCCTATAGCCGAAGTTTGCCCAACCCCCAAAAAGTCAGCTTGCAGCTTGCATTGTTTTGTTGTTGTTGTTGTTGTTGTTGTTGTTGTTTGTGGCCAAAAACTTAATTGCAGATTGCAACGAAAAAATAACAACAAACACTTTGCGTGCGATTTTGTTCGTGACAGCAGAAAAATCTCTTGAAAAATATACAAAAATTGCTCGCTTTAATGGCACACACACAGCACATAATACACACACACACGTGGCACACACACATTGCCCCTTTTTTAATAATTCTTTGGCCAGTTTCAGTTTCAGACCCCAATTTAATTCCAACTGTGTCTCAGCTGCAGATCTATTATGCAAGATCTATTATAATCTATTATAAGTGAACAGCCTGCAATTACATTTACTAAACTCGCGCCCCCTCCCCATCCCCATCATCATCATCATCATCATCATCATCATCATTGTCATCATCGTCGTCGTCATCAAATTTACATATGTAGATATTTGGTGTATTATCAACGCGCCCCCTCGCAGCCGTGCGCATCTATTTGCATACATTTTGTTTCGGGTTTGTTTCGGTTTACCCATTTACCCATTTTACTATCTGGTAAACGCTCGTTTAGAGCCCACAACTAATTTGACACAATTACTTATCGGCTAAATGCAAATGATATGTATTTTGCAGTAAGCGGGGGTTTTCTTTTAATTTGGATGTATGCCAAGGTATTTTGTACTCTGTGCTTAAACAAGTTGTGAATTATAAGTTAAAATGCAGTTAAATGGCAAACTAATGTTGTTTCGAGCGTATTTCTTTGAGTTGTTTACTTTAGATATCAATATTTGCTAAATACTATATTTGCGTCAAGCAATTTAGGTTATGCATAGACTAAGTGCATTGCTCTGCTTAAACCAGTTGTGAATTATAAACTAAAAATTGGTTTAAATCGCAATCCAATGTCATTAGTGCTATTAAAATTAACTTATGCATGCCTCTCTTTGAGTCATTTACTTTAAATACCATAATTTGGTTCATTCTATATTCACTTTAAGCAATTTATTATACACAACATATACTCAGTGCATTCCTATGCTTAAACCAGTTGCGAATTTTAAGCCAAAATTGGTTTAAATAAAAACTATAATTACCTAAGATGGCTGTTGCTCTATGTATTGCTGTATTATTTTGCTAAATACTTTTTTTGCGCTTAGTTTATTTGCTCGACACGCCTCTTACTTCGATATTCTAATGTGTATGTGTGTTTTCTACCTAAGCCTCTGTTATTTTTAGTGTATGCCAATACAATGCGTAGGCCATTTACCTATCGCATATCCAGATGTAAGTCTAAAAAGCGCCCCAGGCTAGAGTTAAAAGATTATTTATTTGCCATGTGCCAAGAGCTTAGACAACAACAACAACAACAACAACAGAAATACGAAGCACAGTTGTTGCTGTATGACTTTGAATGGGGTCAGAAGCCAACAAACATCTCAGTAACGGAGCGTGTGCCACACGAGAACACAGACAAACACACACACACACACACACACGCACATTCATCAAAGTTAACAACAGGTAGATGCTGGTGCTGCGATTGGCTAATTTGAAAAGCAGGTTATTAACCTCAACGGTCGGCACAAACAAATAAAAAATAAGATAAATATCAGGTAGTAGTTCTCATATGAATCCATTTATCGATAAGCCACACATACAACTAAATACATCTATTTAAACAATTTGTATTAAGTGCGCCTTCAAATAAAGGGCCACAGCTGTTGAGTTTCATAAGAATCCTCTAGCCACCCTCTAAGTAAGCCCCATCCGCCCTTGCTTATAAAGTCAGTCTAAATGGTCTGTTGACTGTAATATGCATGTTTGCACGACGTTCGCTCCAAATAAACTCAATATTGTTTGTCTTTCGTTTTTTTTTTTTTTATTCTTATTCGTAACTTGTGGCAACAACCACAAGGCAAATAAGTGCATTCCACAACTATGCAACATGCTTGTGGACAATCGATATTATCAATTGAAAGTCGAGCAGAAAAAATAACATGAGAAAAGAAAAGAAAAGAAGGCAAACACAATAAATTGTTTACATAATCGTTGTCAGTGACAACGAATCTTGAGTAAAGTGCACTGAGAAATAAAACTCGAAGCTTATGTTATAGCAGAGCATATTTCCCGGCTTTGCCCGAGCCAAGTTCTTTGATCAATCAATCGAAACAAACATTCTAATTAATACTTATATTAATAGTATTGTAGGCAAAGCATATATTAAAAATATATCAGAGCCCAAAGCTCAAGTAGGTTTGAGCAAACAGAGCTGAAATCATCAATCAATCAGTCAATCAATCAGTAGAGATATTTTAATCATTTAAAACAAATATATTATTGTAGCTAAGCTTAAAACGAAATTAGAGCCATTAACTCAAGTCGTTTTCTTTGTTCATCAATCAGTCAATCAGTCACCAAAATATAATTTAATTGAAGATAAATAATTGATATAAATATATTAAAGTAAGTTAGCAGAGTTTGAAATTCGAGTAGATTCGACCAAAACTAACTCAAAAATGTAATTGTTTTCCTAATTCAATCAATCAATCAATAAATAGTTAGCTAGCTAAACTTATGAGATATCAGAAGCCAAAACTCTAGTAGATAAAACGAAAATCAGCTAAAAATCAAGAAAAGCAGTTTCTTGTACATCAATCAATCAATCAGTCAAAGATAATTATATAAATATATTAATGTAGCTCGTATATAAGATAGCTCAAAACATAGCTCAATAGATCTTAAGCAATCGAAATTAGATTGGCTTTAACAAAAACGTATTTAAAAATAGCTAAATTGGAGCAAAATATCAAATATTTGAATATATTTATTCGCATTTTTGTCTGGGCCCCTCCACCCATTGATAGTCCAATTGGGCTGTGTTTGGCAACGTGCGTTGCCTACAGAAAAAGACGGCGAATAAAATAGGTGCAATAATTGTGCCAAGTGTTATATACACACACACAGACACAGGCAGACAGATATATATATATATATATATAGCAATGCAATGTAGTGTAATGTAATGTAATGTAATGTAATTAGTGAGGGTTTGCAGCGTCAAAATGTAATTTGCGCTTGTGAAATGTGTCTATGTCTGTTTCTGTTTCTGTTTCTGTGTCTGGGCCTGGGCCTGGCTGTCACACGTGACCCGAGCAGCCCCCCACCCCCCCTCCATTTACCGCCCACCTGAGAGTCACCCCGCAAAACACGTAAAGCTGCCAAATGCAAAAACTGACCAAGTCATTAGGTTTCACTGCGCGCTGCGCTAACGAACCCGGATATACATATATAGCAAAATATATATCTCTATATATATCCACATATATATATATATGCACATATGTCCATATGTATGTATATAAATTAGGCATGTACATATATTTGTATGGCACGCATATTTGTATCGCATTGGCATATCAATTTCGTATATTGAATTTGAATTTGAATTTGAATTCGAATTGAAGTGGAAATGGAAATTGAAATTGAAATTGAATTCGATTGCATTTAAAATGTGTCTCGATTTGCGAGATGGAAAAAAATGTCTCTTGTCTTTTTTTTTTAAATGACTTTTTTGCCTCTAAATTGAGCAAAATTCTTGGCACCTAATGAGCCACAACAAAAGCAGCAAAATGTCATAAACAAGCATGGCCAAAGTGGCAATGCTCGAAGAGCAGATACCCTGTGTTTGTGTGTGCATGCCAATCAGGTCGTTTAACTCATGTAAATGCGATTCGAAATCGATATTTATCATTTATTATGCGAGAAGATATACATATATAGATACATCTTTCTTCTCTTTTTCTATCTTAATAAAAAAGGGTAGGTTAATCTACATAGAAATTAAACTTAATTCTTGCAAAATACGAAATATGATGTACTTGGAGGAGAATTTAATTGAAATCACGAAATACTAAATATACACGAAATATAATTTAAGTTCCCTTAACTTTATCAATATTTATCACTTAACTTTCGATTTTCAATCGATATTTATCAATCTTATGGCAAGAAAAGAAAGGGATAGGAAGGGAAAGAAAATGGGTTTCCTTAACTTTATATTTTAGATTTCTAGATTTTCAATCGATAGCTATCGATCTTATGGTACGAAAAGGGTTAGTAAGAGAAAGGAAACTCGTATCCATTAACTTTAGATTTTAAATCGATAATTATCGATTTTATGAAAGGAAAAGACGAATTTACATACCACATTTTAATCGAAATCAAGTAGCTCATGCTAACTAAACTATTAACTAGCGCAAACAACAAGCATATACATATATGGCTAATAATGTCGAATTTGCCCCCTGCTGCCAGTCACACGGACATACATATATACCCCTTTCTAAGCATTCCTAATGGGTGCGGGGTGTATAAAATGAAAAAAAAAACGAAAATAAAAACAACATTTTTAACGAGCTACGCATCGGGAAAACTTTTCAGCGCCATATGCTACAGTTGCAAATGGGCTGTGTGTGTGTAAGTGTGTGGGTGTGGCTGTGGCTGCCACTTGTGGGTGGCTGTGTATGTGGGGCGTGTTCTTGTGGGCGTGACATTTACCTTTGCATTGCTGTACGTTGCGGCTGCAACGGTGGCGTTGGCAGCGGCAGCGGTAGCGGCAGCGGCAGCGGCAGCTGCTGACGTTGAGGCAGATGAGTCGAGCCAATTTTCCGGTTTCATTTAACAAATCTGTTGTGCGCGGCAGAAACCGCACAAAAATGTTGCACAAAGAAAGAGTTACAAATATTTCAAGTGCGCACTTTAGTTGGGGGCGCGTGGAACGTTGCGGGGCGGCGCTGTGACAACTTTTTAATTGCAGCACTTGCACTCACTAAATTGCTCTTCTTCTAGCTGCTTCTGCCTGCTCTTCTTCTCCTTGTTGTTGTTGTTGTTGTCTAGATTTTTGCACTGCACACACACACACACGCACACAAAGACAAATAGTATAACACGCGAAATGACACGAAACTCTGCGCGCTTTTATTTTCTTATTTTTTTTTTTTTTTGCTACTCTTTTTTTTTCGCTTTATTACTTAAACGCTTTTTGGCACACACACGCACACAGCTGCACTTTAGCGAGAAGCGGCCTCTGGCGGCTTAACATACAGTATGTCAATAAAGTGTTTTTACTAACAAAAAAAAACTAATTTTTTGGGTTTAGTTGAAAATAAATGTACCTAAAAGTGAGAATTTTTTTTCAATTCTAATTTATTTCGATTCTATATTTTTCCTAGAACTTAATGGCAAAAAGAATTGTTAAATAACATTACCCAAACATTTTATAAAATTAAAAAACTAAAAACATTCAAATTTTATGCTGTCAATAAAGTGTTTTTACACGAAACTTTATTACTAAATAACAATGTTAAAAAAACAGGAATATTTTTTTTTAATACTTTGTGTGGCTGCCATTAGCGTCACATACAGCCTGCAATCGCCGTTTCATTGAAACAATAAGGTTTTGTATGTATGTTTCTGGAATCTTCTGCCATTCTTCCAGTACAGCAGCTTTTAAATCAGTTTTTGATTTTGGACTCCGCTTTGCGACTTTTTTTTTCAAATATGACCACACATTTTCTATTGGATTCATATCTGGACTTTGTGGTGGAGTGTCTAACACCTTTCCACAGTTGTACAACAGCCAAACTCTTACCATATGAGCTTTATGCTTCGGGTCATTGTCCTGGTAAAATTTAAAAATTGGCTTATTGTCCTCATAGAATCCAAATTTCTGTGCACTACTGACGAGATGTGTCTGTAAAATGCTCAGATATTGTCTAGCATCCATGGTATTCTCAATGAAGGTCAAATCTCCTACACCCTTGCTCGAAATACACCCCCACACCATCACTGATAGTTTTCCGAATTTAACGGTTGGAATAATATTGCGGTTTTCCAACGCTGTTAGTGGCTTTCTCCAGACTCTGGATGGCCCATCGTTGTAGAATAGCATCATCTTGCTTTCGTCACAGAATATGACGTTACTCCAAAAATCGTTCGAACTATTTACATGGACTTGAGCGAACGATAGCCGCTTCAAAATATTCGCCGCCGATAGTAGAGGTTTTTTCCTGGCAACTCGTGATGTGTAGTCATTGGAATTCAGTAATTTTCGGACAGTTTCATGTAACACATCAACACCACTTTCTTCCTTGAACTCCTGAGCAATATCCCTAAGCGAAATTTGTGGATTTTTCTCAATTTTTCTCAGAATTTTTCGCTTATCTCTGTCAGAAATTTTGCAGGGTCGACCACATACTGGCTTTGCCTCTAGCCTATCTTCCTTATTGGCTCTGTTTAATATGTTGTATATCGTTGCTTTTGATAAATTAAACATATCAGCCAGTTCCGAGACTTGACGTCCCATCTGATGGTTATAATACACCAGCTGAGCGACTTCAAAAGTTGTTCTTTTTCCTGGCATTTTATTTTTCATAAAATTAAAGCAAAACGTTATAAATTGCAATAGAAAATGACAAGAAAAGTCGAAGACACAAGAGAAGCCAAAACGCATGGGCCCAAATCTAACGGGATCACCCAAAAGAGAACGGCAAAACAATTTACCGTAGCTGTAAAAACACTTTATTGACAGCATAAAATGTGAATGTTTTTAGTTTTTTAATTTTATAAAATGTTTGGGTAATGTTATTTAACAATTCTTTTTGCCATTAAGTTCTAGGAGAAATATAGAATCGAAATAAATTATAATTGAAAAAAAATTCTCACTTTTAGGTACATTTATTTTCAACTAAACCCAAAAAATTAGTTTTTTTTTGTTAGTAAAAACACTTTATTGACATACTGTATGTTAGATTTAACGGCAGTCGATAGAGAGCAGCTTCTGTTGCAGTTGTTGTTGCTGTTGGCTTAGCAAACATATGTTTGACCAGCCAGGCACGTAGGCAACTTTTGAAGGGTCGCCGTGACGAAGGCAATGCTGAGAGCAACAGCGAGAGTGAGTGTGAGTGTGAGTGTGAGAGCGTGCGAGAATTTAAACAGGAGGCGTGAGTATGTAGTTACGTTGTAACGGTAACGGTGTAGGCAAAGCAAAGGCTGTGTTCTAGAATGTTCTCGACTCGATTTGAGCAGCTGCTTGTTCTTGATTTCGTCTGTTTGTGGCCTCCTCTGTACGCACTGCGTTAAAAATGTCGATGGATGGGTTCGTCTGTTTTTTGCACAAATTTCGCTGCTGGAGCTATCGATCTTGCTTGCTGCTCTTTCTGCTCTCTTTCTCTCTCTCTCTCTCTCTCTCTCTACAAATACAACATATGTTTGTATGTATGCTTAAATCTCACTCTGAATATATATGAGTATGTTTTTGTAGCTATCTATTATAAATTCTTCTGTTTTATTTATTTATTTTGTTGCTTTTTTTGCCTTTTTTTTTTTTTGTTGTTTGTGCGGCTCCGCTGTGGACTTGTTGGGGCTTTCGTGCGCGGTCACTCTCGTTGAACGACTGAATTCAACGGCAATCGTTGGTGGCATGAAACTTGACTACGCGGTAACCAAGCAAACGGCAATTGAGTGAAAACGCAGCAGCAGCACCGGCAGCAGCAGCGGCAGCGGCAGAGGCCGCAACGGACGCGGCCGCAACAGCAAAGCTCTCAAAAGCACAAGCGCGACTCTTAAATTGAGTGAAAAGCACAACAAAACAAAAAAAAGAAACAAAACTTGTCAAGCATTGCGGTTGCCGCTGCCTCTGCTGCCGCTGCCGCTGCCGCCGCTGCTGCTGTTGCTGCTGCTGCTGATCCCATTCGAAAGTTTAATTATATTTGCGCCACCGACACTAGTTGCTATGCTGCGGGCTGTTGCTGCTATTGTTGTTGTTGTTGTTGTCGTTGCTATTTGGATTTTCGAAACCGGCAAGGCGCACAACAACAACAACAACAACAACAACAACAGCATCGGCCACAGCAGCGACGGCGGCGTCGCTGCGTTCGATCAGCAGCAAAGAAGCAACAACTTGTACGCGCTCATTGTTATGGTGCTCACAGTGTGTGTGTGTGTGCGTGTTGGTATTGGTGCGTTTGCCAGCAGCAGCAGCAGCAGCAGCAGCAGAATTACGTCAGAAATGCTCACACACACACACACACACACACACACACGCTAAAACGCGCTGTTAGCAGCGACAAGCCGCAAAGCTTTGCACTAAAAGTTTTCTTATACGAATTTCGTGCGCCGTTCTTTTTTTCAATTCATGCGCGACCCAAAGCGACGCGACCCAAACACACACACACACACACACATGCCTTAGTTAGGCGCTCACTAAAAGCTGCAGCGGCGACGGCGACGGCAAAAACCAACAAAAAAAAAGCGAGCGAAAACAAAAATTAAATTAATTAGAAATAAATATTGTGCACACGCACGCACACACTCGCACCACAGCATGTGCATGTATGCGTGTGTGTGTGTGTCTGTGTGCGTAATTAATGCAATTCAATTTAAAGCGTATCGAAATGGCAGCCACAAAAACAAAAACAGCTCGACGCAAAAGCTAAGCGCAAAAAGCAACTGTAAAAATTGCAAATGAAACATTTGTTGATTTGTTTCTTTTCTTCTTCTTTTTTTTTTTTTTTTTGCCTTGTTATTTTTGCGTTTTTGTGTTGATTTTGTACACTTTTGTCGCCTGCACCAAAAAGCGTTGTTGTTGTTGTTGTTTATTTTTGGCATTGTTTATTTGCATAGATTGCAATAAGTTAACTGTATATTTATTTATATTTTACGAGACATCGAAATTGCTTTTCATTTAAACGAAATCTCTTAAATCTCATTGAAAAATAGAAAATCGCGTATACGCAGCGTGCACAACGCTGCTTCAAGTGCGCGCACACACACACACACACGCACGCACACACAGACAAGAGCTAACACCTCGTGTTAAACAAATTTGACAGGCACTTGGCTACTTGAGGCATTCCGACAAAAAAGCAGAAGAAGACGAAAATTGTGTGTGTGTTGCACTTAAATTTGATTTGACACATGTGTGCGAAAAAAATATTAAGGGTATGCCCGCTAGCTAATTAATAATTGTTAGCCAAAGTAGCGCAAGTACTTATTACAATTAAAAATAATTATAATAATAAATAAATTTACTTTTTATTTTATTTATTTTTAAGCCACAATACAGTTAAAGTGGGAACATCCCGCTTAATTGCAGCTTAAAATTTACTTGATTTTCTTATAGATATTTTTTGCTTTAATCAAAAGTTGTTTTTAATTATTTTCCATGGCAATCGTCTATTAATTTAGTTAAATTTGGTGACATTGACTAATTTATTCAACTCGCTCATTTCAAATAATTAAAGCCATATATATATATATATATATATATATATAGTGCATAGCTATATAAATATAGATTGTATAGCTGTGTGTACTCAATGCTTCGAGAATGTCTATAATCGAAAAGTCAAAGTCAATGGCAATGGAAAATACAAATATTTCATAAAATTTCAAACAAATTCTATGGCTGGGCTCAAAGACGTTAAGACATAATTATAGTGTATGTGCGTGCGTGTGTGTGTGTGTGTGTGTGTGCGTGTGTGTGTGTTGTTCTAACAGCTTATTTTCGATTTCTGATTGACTGAACTGATTGATTGACTGACTGATTGATTGGCTGGTGCAATTTCAATTTCTAATTTCTGATAAACTTGTTCGAATTAGGGTTTTTATTTGTTCTGTGACAGAAAACGAAAATTAGTTGATTGACTTTCGTTTTGTGCGTGACAATTAAGTGGGCTGTACCCTGCACCCGTTGAAAAGGGGTATATTGTTTCTGTGCAAATGTATGCCATAGGCAGAAGGGAGCACCTTGGATCCCATATTAAGTATACGCCATGCCCGTCCGCCTCTACTCCTGCTGGAACATGGTTTTACCTAGCACACGCGCTGTACGCGTTTCTTTTCGATAAACGATAACTTGCCCTGTTTCCAAGTAATCGATAAAAAACGATATCGAAATTTCCGATTTTTTTTTTTTTTTAATTTTACATTAATTTAACAATCAATAAATACAAATAAATCGTTGTACGTTAATGGAGAAAAGTTTTCAGGGCTTGTTTCGAGTTGTTTTGTTTTGTTTGTGCTTCGTAAATAACAAAA